CGCCGGCCGTCACGCGCCGCTGGCCGCCCGCCGCCCGGCCGGCCGCGCGGTCCACCTGGCCCGCGCAGTCCGCTTGAGTCGCCAAGTCTGCCGGGTGCTCTCGGTCCGCGTGGTCCATGTGGTCCACTTGGTCCGCCTAACCTGCTCAGTTTCTCCGGTCCTCTAGACTTGTTGGGTCGCTCGGGCAGCAAGGTCCATGCGTTCGGGACTGAACCCCCTGATTTAAGGAGGGAATGCGTTAAGCACCTCTTTTTTCGTCTGTTTGTTCCGTTGCAGTGTATGTTGCTGGAAGAAGGCGGCTTTCAAAACGCGTGGATATTCTGGTGAAACAAAGATATCGAACAGTCTTAGTACATATCATGCTTTGAGCATTTTCACATTTCCCAGTGACTAGGTGATATCAGCCTTAAGCCAAATGCAATCCGCTTTAATGACTATGGATTAGTCTATGGACTATGGACTAGTATAAGAACTCATAAATAACTCACGCTATTTGCTGCCGGCTCTGGTCGTCTCGCTGGCGTGCCCGGCGCTGCAGCCGGCCGGGTGCGCCGTCTCGGGCGGCACGCGGCCCTGCGGGTGCGGCCAACACCCCTCGGCCCGCGGCGCCACGTCTCCGGGACGCCGGCGCAAACAGGCCCGTTTTTGCGCGGCCGGGAAAACGCCGGCGCGCCTAAGCCGCCTGTTTGTTGCCTTTGCCGGAAACGGAATTTGTTTGGCGGTGCTCGGCCGCGCTCTGCTCGGCGGGCTTGGAAAACAGCATGCGCTTAGCGAGCTCGGCATGCATGCATGCAACTGAGCCTCGCCGGGATTGGTGGCGGGAGGCGGATCAGGAGGCAAATCCTATGCAAAGTCGTATTTGGGCAGGGTGGGCCTCATCAGTGAAAGTATTCAGCTGGGACGAGTCGAGCACGTCTGCTGCGTCGGTGTTTGCGGGCTGCGTTGAGGTCGCCGGGTAAATCAACAGGGTCCTTCGGTCCCGTCGCGGCGGCTCGCGCCACACACCGGCTTACAATCCCTGCGGTCTCTTTGTGTGACTGAAGGCAGTCTCCAGAGAATCCGGTCTTGCTGTGCGTCGGCGCTATTGTGCGACGGATGTCAAGGAGCCTGACAGAGCACTTGAATCGCCGGCCATACGTTAAAGTTGTCGCTCAACCTGTCCGTGAACGTAAAAAGCTTATTCCACTCAGGACTATTGTGTGGCGCAGTGACGTGTGTGACGTGACCAGTGACATCAGTGACGCAGATGACGGACGGGCGTCGTCTGCATCGGCAGCACTTGCGGCTGGTGAAACCCGGACTCGGCTTGTTGGGGACGGTTTGACATTTTGCATTGCGTCAGACATTACGATGATTTCTAGGAAGTGCCTGGAGGGATGGCGGCTCAGGTTGTGGTTGTTGCCTGGAACATCACTTAGACAGCCTGAGGAAACGGAGGACGAAGTTTCGAGACCTTGAGTCGTATACGCGGGCGAGTGGCTGCGCACACAGCATCGTGCACACATTTGACCCGAACCCAATTCGGAGCTTCTTATGTTCGATAGCTGTTGGGTGTTGGGGAGTGTTGGGGAGCCCGCTGGCTGTGCCGATGCGCGTCTGTCGGGCCGCTTGTCCCACCCTGCCCGACCGGCTTCTGTGTCGCGCTCGAAGCCCCCGGTACTCAGCGGCGGACGCCAGCGGCCGTCTAGCGGAGCGTTCGCAGCGCGTGCGCGCTCGGCCGCGACCGCCTCGCGAACGGGCGGGGTGGACGCTCAGCCCTCACGGCCCGCCGACGTGAGGGAGATGCTGGCGGGCCGACGTGCTGTGCAGAATACGGCGGGTGAAGTGGCAGAATTTGGGACTGGTTTGGGGAATGTAGCCGACAGCTTCTGAGCGATAGGGTCGCTGTGACCAGCGTTTTATGACGGTTATGTCACTGTCATTCCTGCAGCGACTACATCACCGCAAAATCGCCCCAGCGTTTGCAATTCGGGTTCAGATTAGGGAAGCGGGTCCACAGCAGCGTGCGAGTCTGCACGCGCCGCCTCTGCAGCGACCAATTCACCGCAAAACAGACGTAGCGCTTGCAAGTCCTGTCCAGATAACAGAGCCGGACCCGCAGCGGTGTCGGCGCCCCGACTCTCAGAGCGCGCTGCCCGCTGCCGGTGCGACGTAGCAGCGATACGACGCAGCCTTGCTGCAGACGGATAGCGTCGGCGGCAGCGCGGCGGGCCGCGGCACGGCCACGGTCCGGCGATGTTCCCACGGTCGGCCGTGCAGGGCCGTCACGGAGGCCGGCCGCGGCCACGGCGGCCGGCGCCCAGCGCGCGGTGACGGCCGCGGCGCGCACGCGGCGAGACTGCGTGGCGGCGGGGTGCTGATGGGGACCGCCGGGGGTCGGCCGAGAGACTACACGGCGGCTCGGTGCTGATGGGGACCGCCGGGCGTCTGCCCGAACCGTGTGGGTTGTCGTACCGCGGGTACCGGTGTGGACGGTAGGAGACAGCGTGAAACCGCGGGGGCTGTTTGGGGCGCTTGGGGCTACTGTCTGTATGCATCGCCCATGGCCATGTGACACTTCTCAGGATCGCGGGCATCTGATGCCAGTCTCTGGCGGCCATCTGGGACAGGTAGAAACCGTCCGGCACGGTCGGGACCGACGTGGCCGCCCGGCCAGCGGCGGAGGTCGGGTCTGAGTCAGCCGGCGGACCCCGGCTGCGCGCCGCTCCATCGCGCGTGAGCGGCCGTTTTGTCTGCGGGTTTCGATTTCGCATTCGTCGGCCGTCTGTCGATTCCCGCGCCGGATGGCGAAAGGCCAACCTTCTGCCGCGCGCTGCCCGTCGGCGGTGGCGCGCGTCTCGCGGCGCAGAGCGCGGGGGGCCGGCGCGCGCGCGCCGGAGCCGGCCTCTGTCGCGGTCGGGCGCGCGTTTCACCCGCGCTAACGAGCGGCTCAGGCAGCTGACGGGCAGATGGGCCCGGCGCCGTGCCTTACCCCCGCTGATTGCGAGCACCTCCCGCGCCGCGGGCTCAGCCGCCCCTCCTGCCGCTCGGGGCCGCCGCCAGCGGCTTCGCGCGCGCCGAAACCTCGGAGCACGCGTGGCCGCAGGCGCCGGCGCCGCTGGGGACTGGGTGGTGACGCCTGGTGGTGGACGAGAGCCGCTCGGGCGGCGCGGCCGGAGAGGGCGCGCCGGGCGGCGCCCCGGCCGGAGACTGGCCGTCTGCCGAGCAGTCGAACCCGCCGGCCGCCAACTCGGACCGTCGTGGGCGCGGCACCGGCTCGCCGTCCGCACCGGTGCCGTTCCGCCCGGATGGCGCCCGTGCGCGGCGGAGTTGTGGCACAAGGCTGCTGTGCCGACCCGGCGGCGAGCGCGCGCTGCCTGGATGCACACGTGGCGACGCGTGACCGACACGGTCAGGTGGCGTTTGTTACTGGGGCGCGCCCGCCGCGGGTCGGCGCGGCTCGAGGGCTCGCGACGCGAGAACGGCCGCCGTGGAGGGCGGCCGACATTGTCCAGGTATTGGTCGCCGGCCGGCCGATGATGACGGTCGGGAGAGTCATTGTGGCCCACACGCACTCGTCGCTCCTCGCCGTGTCAAACATGCTCGTTTTCACCTCAAGCGGCCGGTATGCGGCGCGTCGAACGTGCCTCGTGCTTTCGTTTTCCGCCGAAATCGTCACAATGCCGGCCGGGAGCCTTTGTCAGTCGGTGCGTGCGTGGCGCGACGACGACAACAGAGACGTCTGAAGTGGCCGCCGCGTCCGGGCCGGACAAAGCGGACCGCTCGGTGGGCGCGGCGCTCATACGGGGGCGTCTCGGTTTTCTCGGCGGTTTGTTGCGGCCGCCACGTGGACGTGTTGACACACATCGGTCGCGCTGGAGCCGCCGCCGGCGCCGCGCCACGCAGACGGCGAAAGCGCCGCGGCGGCGACGCATCGAAGGCGGCGGCGGTGACGCGCCGGGTCGTCCGGGTCACCCCGACATCCCCGCCCGTCCCGCTCAGCCTCGCTCCTCCCCTCCCTCCCAGGTCGTCCCGCTGTGGCAGACGGGGATGGTCGGGGCCAGCGCTGCCCTCTTCGGGGCGCCGCCCGGCTGGGCGGTGCTCGCTCCAGGGCGGCAGGAGCGATGGACGCGGGCTGGGTTCAGGTGTAGGGGCATTCGGGAGCGCAGCGCGCTGTGCAGCGGTGCAGATGCACCATCGGCTTCGATGGATGCATTTGTAATGATGAACACCTCCACTTCACAAATTGGGCTCGTAAACTTCCTGTGCCTCCTGTCCGGTGCTGAAGTGTCTGGCACGCGAGACCATCCGCGCTGGCTGCGTGCTGAATACTGTCTCGCACCACAAGATGACAGCTTTTGTTATCCGTGCCTTCATAACATATCGCCAAACAAGTTGTGCTGGCTTGTCGTTTAACTGCGCAGACTTTTTCAACTCCGCAGCCGCCTGATCGGCCAGCTTAGTAAAGCTGCTTTGACATGTCATTTATCACTGCGTTGAACCGGTTTGCGGTCGTCTCGTTCCGTCTTCGATGCCGCTCTCTGCCCTCAAACGCCGCGGCCGCCGCCGGACGGGGTCGACCTTTGGACTCTTTTGGCGGTCGTCGGTCGGGCGCACGTGACGGCCAAGTCTGGCCACCGGCGCCCGGGCCGGGGCCTCGCCGTGAATGCGTAGTTGAATGTCCTGGAGTGCTGTAGTTGAATGCTCTCACCAGGAGTACGTAGATGTGCCGGGCGTATGCGCCATAGTGTTGTGTGTGTGGGTGTGTGGGTGTGATATGTGATACTTGTGTATGTGTGGTGCAAGGGAAGCTGGATTGCTGGGTGGAAGAGGCACCCAGCCCTCTACAAACCGAGAATGCGACCATTCTCCGTGGCGACTCCCGCAGGCTCCCGCTCCCTTGGGGTATGTGAGTGACGACCTGCCCCGGGTGGGCTGTGCGGGGGGCTTGCTCCTCGAGTCTGGCCGTGCACCATGCCTCGACCCGGTGTGCTGACCTCCACCTCCCCCTCTGTCCACAGATGGGCGAGCGGCGCGGCATGAAGGCGCTGGAGCTGTGGTGTCGGCGCATCACCAAGGGCTACCCGGGCGTGCGCATCACCAACATGACCACCAGCTGGCGCAACGGCCTCGGCTTCTGCGCCATCATCCACCACTTCAGACCCGACCTGATGTGAGTGGGGATTGCCGCCGGGGTGGCGGCGGAGGGGAGAGGGGAGCGGCGCCGCTGGGCGTGGTGGTGCCGGCTGCTACCGGAGCGGAAGGGAGTGCCAGGCCTAGTAGCGGGGTGGGATGCAGGTTGTCGGGATAGTCGTGTCGGTGTAATTTCGAACCAGGTATTGCAAGGTGTCACGAAATTTGAACTCGTCAAAGCGTACAAGGGTGTCAGCCGCTTTCTATACTCCCTCCTTTTCTGCAGTGCCCGTGTAGAAAAGCATGACTTGCTTTGCTGATCCTGAACCATGAGCCCACGTGTGGCTTTCTACTCTTGAGCTCGCCAAATGAGACCAGATTACGACTTTGTTCGCTCGGCTCCCTTTATCTGATCTCCCCGTGCTCTCCCTCCCGTTACAGGTGTACCATTAGTGTCGAGCAAGCAGTATTATCGTCATGCAATTAATGTGATTAGCTGAGACCGTTATGAAAGTCAACGTGTCCGTACCGGTTGGAGTGCATCCACCCTTCCCAAGATTACGCTCGTTAGGTCGTCATCACGAACCGCTATAGAGTGAGCCGCGGGCGTTCTGCGGTGCCGTGGACGCCGCGTCCAAAACACCCCGTCCTCCGACCGCAGCGCGTCATCAACGTCCCCGATCCTCATTCCAACCGGAAACACTGCGCCCCGTAACTCTCCCCCCCCCCCCCCCGTTCTCGTTGGTGGGTGGGTAGGGTGGGGGGGAGGGGGTGTTCCGACCGCGAGCTGCCCGGCGACGTGCCCCTTGACCCCTGACCCGGCGTGACCCGGCCGCCGAGGTCGCCGCAGTTACGGCCGCCCGGCGACGACGAAAACAAAAGTGAGCGCGTGCGCGCCCGCCGTGCGCCCCGCCGCACGGAAGCGGCCGCGTCGCACGCCCGCCTGACGCGGCGGCGGCGGCGGCGGCGGCGGCGGCGCTGGCGCTGGCGCTGGTACGGACGCGGCATTGTGTGCGCCCGGCGGCGGCGTGTCGCGTCGCCCCACAGCCGGGTCACGCTCGTGGTCCGCCGTTGTTCGGGGTGTGTTGTCGCACGGCTTCGGTTGATTGCTGGGTGTCAGTGAATGCGGACGGTGGGCGCTGGTGGTGTGCTGGCGCCGCAGTGCATGTTGTTACATCTCTCTCTTCTTTTGTTTTACTTCAAAACACGTGTGGCTGGTGTCAGGACCGATTGAAGTGTGTTGTTTGTGAAACGTGATGGTTTCTAGAAACTCCTGGTTTGTTTTCACTGGTTTGTTTAGTTAGTTTCCCGCCAAATGGACCACACTAAAGCAAATAACTGCTCTTGAAAGGCTGAAAAGCCACCGGATGTGGCGTCGTAGACACTCAAAGGCAAACACACGAGGATTTGGGCGGAGTCGCGTTTATGGCCACCAGAATGCGCCGTGACCACCAGCCCTCCACCGCCAGCTGTTAACACTCCCTCCCTTCCCCACTTCGACAGCCCAATGACCTGACCCACTGGTGCCGGACGGCGTGTAAAACAGCGCCTCGGGCCTCGGCAGTCCGTGTCGACAGCCCATGCCAGCCATGTCGACCCGTGTCAACCCGTGTCAATCCGTGCCAACCCGTGTCAACCTGTGTCACCCTCGTCCGCGTTGGTGGTGACCTTGACTCGCTGCGTCTTGACTCCCGCCGTCCCCGGCAGTGACTTTGACTCGCTGCGGCCGGACGACGTGTACAAGAACAACGCGCTGGCGTTCGAGACGGCTGAGACGTCGCTGAGCGTGCCGGCGCTGCTCGACCCGCAGGACATGGTCGACTACGAGGTGCCCGACCGGCTGTCCATCCTCACATACGTGTCGCAGTTCTACCAGGCGTTCGTCGGCCAGCAGGGTGAGAGTCGGAAGCGGGAGGGGGCGGGGCAGAGGAGTGGGGGAGGGGGAGGAGATGTGGTGTAGGGGGTCACGTCGTTGTGTGAGGATGTTGTGTGGTCAGGATAAGCATGCGGGCAATAGTAGAAATGCGCTCTGTTTTTGTGTTCGAAGAAACCCTCACCTTGCAGCGTGAAAGAGCAGTCTGCTCATAGATCCCATGCCACTCGGTTTTTCTGACCTGATCCGTCGAAAGATAGAGTTAAACCTCCCTGATGTGATGGCAATGTGCTTCCCCTGGATCGGACACCGCGGAGTTGCTCTGCCCCGGCCGGCCGGACAGCGCCGGCGGCCGGCGGCGGCGGCCCGTGCCGTCCCCGGCCCGTCCGCCGCCGCTCATCGACGCGGCTAACGACCCGGGCCGCGGGGCCGCGCGCCACCGACCCGGCGACCCCCGCTGGGCGCGCCCTTGAGAGGCGGACCCGGCCGACGACCCCTCCCCTCCCCCACCAGCGCCGCGATGAGCGCGGCTGCCGGCCGGCGGCGGCCAGGGGCGGGGCACGACGCGAGAGGGAATGATCGGTAGCCGGCAGCCAGCGGCCGGGCCGCAACTCAGCCGATGAGTATAGCCGATAATCGGCGATTGTCGATTACGGCTGATGACCGATAGTGGCGGCTCTGACCTGACTTGTCTCGTTGTTGGGAAAGGCCGCCGCTCTGGGCAGGCGTCGCCACGCACCGCCGACGCGCACCGCCGCCGCGCCCCCCAGCTAGGGGAGGGGCGCCGCTCGGGGTCGGCCGCGAGTGGCGCGCTGGGCGGGCGCCGATACGTGGTTTGGTGTGCGCGGCCTGGCGGCTGGAGGCGGCTGGACCGGACGGCGGTGATGGTGCGGGACACGCGTCGCACGCACAGGCGGGACGGGACGGCTGGGCTCTGTCGGGTCTGGCGCGAGGCTCGATGTTGTCGCGGTCGGCGCCGCTGTCCGGCCAGAGATCCGTGATCGGGTGTGTGCGGCGTGCCGCGGGGAGCTGCCGGACCACCCGGCCGGAGCGCGATGTGTGTCGCTGTTTTTGTGCGGCGTCGCTGCCGCACTATCACCGGGCCATCGCTGCAGAGAGTGAAGCTGGGGCGCGCGCACGCCAGAGTCGCCGCCGCGTCTGGCGACGTCACGTCCTGCTCGCCGCAACGGGACCCGCCGCCGCCGCCGCCGCCGCCGCCGCCCCCGTCCCGGCCCCCGTGCGCGCGCTGACCGGGTCACCTGTCGCCGGGGCCGGCACGCACGTGCGTGCCGCGCGTGGGAAGTGGGGCCCGCCCGCTTCCTGCGGCCGGCCCACGCATTTCCGTCCCAGTTCTCGGCGCGCGGAGAGAGCCGCCCGATCGAGGGGGCGCACCGCAACAATGGGCGACAGGTGCCGTCGCGGCCGCAGCAGTGGCCCGCTGTGCGTCGCCGTCCGGCCGGCGCACAGTGGGTCAGAGCGCCGCCCGCGATCGGCCGTTGTGCGGCCGTCCGCGTCCGATGCGGCGCCTTTGTTTCGCCGCCCCCGGCGGCCGACCTGCGAGCCCGGGCGCCGCCGGAACGACGCATTGGAACGGCGCTGTTTGCGCTCCGGCCGCGCCCGCCGGCAGCCTGGCCGGCCGGGCCGGCTAATCATGCGCATGATGGCCTTAATTAAAGCCACTCGGCGTGAGAGGACCGTGACGTGATGAACGACACGGGCCGGCCGCCGCCGCCGCTTCCGTCGCCGTCCTACGTTTCCATTACTGCGGCCGCGGCGGGGCTAATTTCGAGACGGGGCCGGAGAGCGGAGCGGCGGCACCGTTAGCGGCGCGGGTGTCGCCGCGCTCCGGCCATCGGGTCACGCGCGATGGCGCCGCCGGACGGGCCGGCCGCGGCCAGATGTGGCGGCCGCCGCGCGGCGGGCGCGGGGTCTCGGTCTCTCGGCGTCCGTGGCGGGGTCTTGGGTCTCGGGTCTCGAGTCTCGAGCCTCGAGTCTCGAGTCTCGAGTCTCGAGTCTCGATTCTCGAGTCCGGGGTCTCGAGTCCCGGGTCTCGCTCGTCGGAGGGGAGAAAGAAGCCGACCGCCGCGCCGACGTGTCCCCGTCGCTTGCCGCTCCCCCTCCCCTCATGGATTTGCCCGACCCACCTCTGAAGCCGCCCCCCCCCCCCCGTTGACCTTTCGACCTCTCCCCGTGCCGCAGGCGTTCCCCGGAAGCCGGTCGTCGAGTCGGAGACGGCCTCGCCGGACTCAGCGTCACCCGCCGACGAGAAGGTAGGGGCGCCGCCCGCCGCCGCCGCCGTCGCGCCGCGCTCGCCGCTCGCCGCCGCGTGCGCGTGGCTCTGCGCGCTGCTCGGCATCCGGTGGGCCGCGTGAGCCGGCTCGCATGCGCTCGGCCGCCGCGACACCGTCGTCGTTCCGGCTTGGTGGTGGAGGTTGCATGCGGGGAGCGGCGCGGATGGTCGAGGATCGGGTTGTGTCGTGGACGCATGCCGACTGCTTTTCTCCGTCGCATGGCTGGGGCGTGGGCGCAACCCTAAATTGCATGACGCCGTTTGTCCATCCTTTACGGCCAATAAATTCGACGGTACACGACATGAGTCTTTGCACTAACCTACCAGAACGTGTTGTTGGTCCGAGCAACTTTCACATTGAGCGCCTGACTACCTTAGCGCTTCAGCTCGACTTGCACCAGGTGCGCGCCGCTCCTCCGTAGTGTTTACCCGCGCCTGTCGCTCCCTAGCTAACAAACAGCCCTCCCGCGCCGCCTCGGCAACGGCGGCGTGAATAACCCTGATTGGGCGGTAGATGGCGGGCCTTCGGTGGCCGCCGCCCTCACTGCCGGCGGCGGCGGACGCCTCCGCGCTCGGCAGAGGCGACGGTTGGCGCTGCCGGCGCGCCGCTTTGTAGCTCTGGCTGGCCGCAGGCCGCCCAGGGCCGCCCGGGGCCGGCCAGCGGTGCCGGCGCGGGCGGCCGAGCGGCCCGGGAGGGGGCCGCCGGCGCTGCCGAGTTAGCCGGTGCACGGCGAGCGGCGGTGGCGGACCGCAGGACGGGGCTGCTGCCGGGGATGACATGCGGGGCCGGAGCCGCCGCCCCCGGCCAACTAGCGGGTGTACCACGTGGGCTCGCAGTGGGCGTGGCGTCGCCACTTTTGGCGAGCGGCGGCCCGGAAGCGGCGTTCAGTTTCGGTCCTGCACACGTGGCATCGAAACGGTGCGTCACTTGTTTTGCGGGCTGTGTGAGCGCTTTGGAGAGTTGTACAGCTATGACGACAAACTGCAGCGTGTAGGTTACGGCGTTGCCACTCGTCGCCGAGGCGCAAGGTGAGTGCATCCCCGCTGGCGCCCAGCTGCGGGGCGTGACCCAGCGCTCGTGCCCGTCGGTGCCGCGGGCTCGGGCGGCTAGTCCAGCACCTCCGCAGGGGAGCGTCCCGCCCGCGTTGATGTCTCAGGACCGGCCGGCGGACCGCCGTTCGCCTGCGGTCAAGCTGACACAGTTCCTGCACGGAATGAGGGCTGTCGAATTAGCTCCGGCGGGCCTGGATTCTGGACAGGTGCCACGTGAAGAAGAAGGTTAATGCTGACGCGGTTCCCACCCGAGTCGATTTCGGCGTCGGCTCTAGATCGATCGCGATCGGTTGGCCGTGGTGGGCTGGGATGCGGGCTCCGCGGCAGCGCGCGGCGCGCGATGAGCCGCGCCCCCGGTGTCGGCCGCTCGTCTCGGGTTTGTCTTAGAGTCTGTCATCAATCCGGCGCTCGCGGCGCGTAAGATTGCTCTTTGCGGTGTGATTTATGATGAGTCGTTAGGGAAATCTGCGTTTGCACAAAAACGAGTGACTTTTTACGTCCTCAGGATGGATGTCCAATTCGTTTGATTTTTGTGGTTGGCTGATTGTGCTATAAATCGTCGCCGTCGGTCTGTTGTGTCCGCCAGGCCTAAGCCGTCCGCAGCAATATTAGCAAAAGCTGATGAATGACTCGCCAAGTCATCGGGAGGGGGCAGATGACACGGTTCCACGCAACCAAGCGGGCTTCGCGTCCGTAACTGCAGACAGCGGCGCGTAACGTGACCCACTCTGGAAGCCCCGCAAGCCGCTGCCCGCCAACGATCATCCACAGTCGACTGGGCGGCGGCGTGGCCGGGCGTAACAGAGCGGCACCCGTGCGGCTCCCTTGCGGCACACCGCGCGCGCCATGAGAACGGCCCATCACGGCCGAGTCGAACGCCTTGTCTGGGTCAGTGTGACGCGGCGGTGATGGCGACCGGTGCCGCCGGCCTCGGCCTCAACCCGTCCGTGGCGCGGTCTGCTGATGAGGTGGGAGGGTTGGGGAATGGGGGGGGGGGGGGGGCACGCCTGGCGCCGCCTCCCACGCACCCTGGGGAGGCCTGGGAGTGGCTGGTTTCAGCAGTGGTGGTGCTCTCCGTTCCGTCAACACGCCACAAGGCGATGTCGGTTCACATCCGTGCATTCACGCATCATGCAACGCGCATAAACGGAGGTCGGACATATTACATCTGTTCCTGTCTCCTTTGGCGTGTCGTGTTGGCGACACTGGAGGGGGCGCACCTCCCTTGCTATGCACAACAACCCAGTGCTCCCACGACAGCTGGACGCCACCGAGTCCGCGCCCTGTTCTGGTCGGACGCCAGCGGCCCCGAGCGACGACCTGTCCGGCCGGCGGGTCGTGACCTCCCGGCACCGGTGTCAGCGTCAGTGTCAGTCCGGGTCAGACAGCGGCGCTCGCGGCCGCGCCGCCCTGTCCGCCCGTCCGCCACCGCCTGCCGAGCGGACAGCGCCGGCGCGGTGCGCGCGTGCCAAATGGCGCGGCCGCCGGCGCGAGTCGGAAATAGGCGACGCCGCTGGGTGCCGGTGTCGTCGCCGCGGAGGGTCGGCCAGTCGGTGGTCGCCCGGGGGTGGTGTCACCGCCGCGGCGAGGGACGGAGCGCGGTCAGGACCGGGAGACTGGCGTTGGGGTCGAGGGAGGGCGTGGACGCGGACAGTCCGGACGGGAAGTCAAGTGAAGGCCAGTGAGGACCGCACGGTCGTCGGAGAAGCCGGTCGACGGGGAGATCGCCGAGGACCGGCCGGTTTCCGGCCAGCCAGCGGCGCATGGCGAGCCGCGCTAGGGCCACGAGACGGCGCCGCCCTCCCCGGCTGCCCGTCATCGAGGAGGAGCTGACGGTCGAGGTAATGCCGGCCGGCAGACGCGGCTCGTTTGGTCGCAGAACAGACCCGTGGTCCGCGGGTCCGACCTGCTGAGAGAGCCGTGGTCCATGGCTGGTCCGTGGGCGTGGTCCGTGGTCGCGGCGCGGTCTGCGGGTGAGAGCTGCCGTAGGTCCGTCGCCGGGCCGGCCGCCTCTGCAGCCGCGTCACGGCCGACCGGTGGTACATCACCGGCCCCGTGTGCCCGCCATCAGACAGCTGTGAGGGGGAGGCTAATAGTGTTGCGTCGACAAGTGTACTGTCTGCTCTTCAGGTGTTCGCTATATCAGCCGGAGGGGTTCCCAAGCGGGACTGCAGGCTCTGAGTTGATAAAGTTAAGATGCGCATACAGACTTCAGCCTCGGAAGACCTCGGCAGTTGCTTTGCAATCGACGGATTTCTTCGTCATTGGTGCCGCCGCTGTGCACGCCGGCAGAAGACCGCGTAGGCTTTGAGATCACGTAGTGCAGTTAGTTGCCTCCTGCTCGCCGGCTATGGCCACAAATCTCGGCACAGTTACGCCCGTCCAGACGATTTTTCCGCCCCCGTTGTCACCCGTGCACAAAACATGGGTCGCTCGGCGTTCGTCGACGCTCATCGCCCGTTCTTTGTTGGCCCGCTCTGCTTCTTGCTCTCCTCACCCGGCGGTCATTGGCTACGGTCGTTAATCCGGCGATAGGCCGCCGTGTAAAAACCCGCCCTCCGCCCGCGCCGCCCGCCCGGCCGGAAGGCCTCCTCACGGTGCCCTGGCGGCGCGCGGCGCGGGGCCGTCCGATAATCTCATGCAATCTGCATCATGCAGCAGGGCGGAGCATATCGCCGGCCGGTTGCACGACTTTGGCACGGCTCCAGTGTCACCTCACTTTCCTCGTCCGGTGCTCGGCCGGCGCCGAACGCTCGTGTCGTAACACCTGCATGATCTCCCCTCCGGGAGGTGGGCGCCCGGAAAGGGTTTTTCTCCGGAGCGGCGGCTCGTTTTCACCCGCTGTGGCTGGCCGCCGTCAGCTCCCGGACGACCAGCCCGTGTGGTCACCCCGGGGTCGGCTTTCCCCTTCAGCTTGTCCGCAAGCATGCGGGTAGTCGCGCAGCTGCCTCCATCGGCTAGCCCTGTGGCCTGGTCGTGGCCACGACTCGCTGCCGGCAGCTGCTCTGGCCGATTCCTGGTGACGGGTCGACGGAGTCTCCACGCCACCGTCCGCCCCCAGGCACGCCCTCCATGTCGTGTCTGGGTCCATGAGTCCACTTTATGTCGCGGCACCCATGTCGTGCCGGTCGCCTGAGGCTCCGTCGGCGCCACACGGTTCCCTGAGTCGGGTCAGCGGGGTCATGCACGCCACAGCGGCCGTCGGCTGCGGCTGCCAGCTGGCGCCTCGTGAAGTCCTGCTCGGCGACGGGAGCCGGCCCTGCCCCGTCCCGTTCCGTCTCCGCCAGCCCCGGCGCTGCCCCCCCCCCCCCCCCGCTACATCGCGTGACCCGTCGCTGGCACGCCGTTCAGGCCGGAGACGGCGCGCGCCCGCTCGCAAAAAGCCGCGCCCGGCCGGCCGGCCGGCACGGCATTGAGTGCGCTCGGTCTCCGCTGAAGAGCGGTCCCACGGCGGACATTGAATCAGTGCGGCCGTTCCATCCTCTCAGTAGGGGACGTGCGGCGGGCGTGGGCCCGAGAGCCCTGCCAGACGTCCGACGGGTGGCGACAGGCATGGCGAACACACTCGGCCGGCCCTGCAAACTACCGCGGCCGCCGTCACTCACCATATGCCCACCAGCTCGGGTCGCTCACCGTAGGCCTATCAACTCGGGTCATTCACCATAGACCTACCACCTCGGGTCACCACCATAGACCCATCAGGTCGGATCACCCTCCATAGGCCCACCAGCTCGGGTCACGCCATAGACCCACCAACTCAGATCTCTCACCATAGACCCCGCGGTTAGGAGAGCGCTGCCTGCTTCTCCCCGGCTGAACGTCCTCGCCGCTCGCCCCTCTCCCTAACAACCTGCACCCACACCTGCTCCGGCTGCACCTTCCACATCTCCTCCGTCGTTGGGGATAATAGCGGCACTATTGTCCGGCTGAAGGCGACGTCCGCGGAGTCCGCCGAGGCGGCGGGAGGAAGGAACGCTCGACGAGCCGTTGGGAGGAGCCGTTGGACGCGGATATTTGGGGAGTGGTGGAATGTGGACGGCGCGAAGATGCTCGGCATTCTCGGGCCTATTAGCTGAACATAACCCCATCTGCTGTTTGGACAGCGTGGCTCCGCGGACGCCGAGCCCGGGTACTTAGGTTATTTTGCCTTCGGGGCGTGCTTGTCTTTAAGTGACGGGATTACGATAGGTTGGGCAGAGTTCCGAGCGAAAAGCGCTGGAAAGACGTCTCGACTTCACATGCCGGCTCAGGGCATCGCGGTTTCATCTACAACCCCCTGCTCCTTGTGATCCCGCTTTCACCACTTCTTTCACGACGCATGTAATTACTATCACAGTCATTTCGCCACTCTGATCGGGATCTCTTTTCAAGGAGCGTGGCCTCTCTATGGTTACGTGACTCGGACCGGGCATGCTATCTTCTCTCACCGGTTTCTAAACACATTAAACGCCGCTGGCACACCAGCGCACATGTAGAAAGGTGTTGGTTGCCTGTGGAAAGCATGAATGTAAATCCGGATCGGGCATAAAAACGTGTAAATACCTGTAAAATAGCTCAACCGATTGGAAAACGCGCAACTGTCTTAGTGACATCTTAAAGCAAATCGGTGTAGGCGACCATTTTCTCATGGCATTGGCGTTGAAGACCGTTGTGTGAAAGCTGCCTGGGGAAGGATCTCCTTGCACCGGCCAAATTTTATACCCTGGCACTCGGTCAGCTTACTTCACGCTTTGAATGCGTAGCTGAGGCGTTTCTGCGGGCAACTAACACGTTTCTTCCCTAGGAAAACCTGGACATCATTGGCCAATACCGTCACGATATTCTCTGCTGAGAGGTGAGAGGAAAGCCGCCAAACGGCGACAGACTAACTTATTCTTCTCTCTCAGCAGACAGATGGCATGACGGTCGGGATGGAGCCATTAGGTCAGCACCAAAGCTATCCTGATGTGTTGGCGAACTCTGCTCTCTTGTTTCCGTTTCTTCTATTTTTGTGCTGTCGCATTCCTTAAACCTCTTTTCTCTCCTGTCCAACAACTTCCGTTTCGTTTCGCTGTCCGCTTTCTTTGTTTCTCAATGTTTCTGTCTCATCGTTACGTTTGCGTTCCGTCGTATCATTTGTTTCTGACTCTTTCGTCCTTTGTTCATGTTCTTTTTCACGTTCGTTTTGTTGGCTTTGTCCACTCTCCGTCCCTCTGTGATGCCAGCCAGCCCTCTCCACTGCCCCAACGTCAACACGTGACTTCCCTTCCCCGTGCCTATGGTGCTCGCGCTCCGCGTGGCGGGTCCTGTAGTTCCGCTTCCGGCCGCAGCACGTCGCCACATCCGTCCGCCAGCGCGAGCCGTGCGCCGCCTGCCGGCTGCCGGTGTTCCTGGCCGAGAGGATGCTCATCGAGCGGCGCCTGGTACACCGCACGTGCTTCAAGTGCGCCCGCTGCGGCAGCCAGCTGTCGACCGCCAACTACTACGTCACGGAGGACGCCCAGTTCTGCTGCGAGGTGTGCCCGGACGAGGAGGTGAGTCGGGTTACGGGTGACCACCGCGTCTCAGGTTGTGGGCGACTGTTGGTGGGCAGTCACGACAGCCGTGCTCGGTGCGGAAGGCCGAACGAAGCTCCTTTGAGAGCGAGAATGTTAGTCTGGTGGTACCTCTGTCCAGCCGTGAAGCCAGTCGTCACCATGTCCCAGACTGTGTTCCCTGGTGCAGCCTTTCTCGCGACGCTGGCCTCACGCATGACTCGCCCTCCCCCCCCCCCCCCCCGCCTTCGGCGCTGACCTCTGTGACTCCGGTGCAGTTCTCCGGCGCCTGTGCCGCCCCCACCGACGCCACGACCGCGGCGGAAGCTGAACTCTTCCGCGGCGCCGACTCGTATCTCAGTGTCGCGTATCAGCTGCACTAATGTGCTTTTTACAACCTTATTACTGCGAAGTAACTGAATCTCCCGACTACACGCACCGTTATGTGAGCACGGCCCAACTGAGATAAAGCATGCACTCTGCCTGCATTATTTGAAGCGGCTTTCAGCCATGCACTTTATGCTCTAGTGACTACACGAGGAGGACGTACCGCAGATGCCGCTGGTGTGCGCCGTTTGCCGTGCGCTGCGCTGCTGCGGCCGCGCCAACCTGCTGTGTTGCCACTGATCCAAACATGTCGCCACTAATGCCTGCTAATCACACGGCGTGATATCGGCGGTCCGATCCGCAAGGCTCCGCCGGCGGTAGTCCGCTCCCAATCCGCTCCAAAGCCGGCCATCAGCAGTCGGCTGTCAGCTGGCCGGCCCGTTGTTGTCACGCCGCCGCCGCCCGCCGTCTTGTGTGACTGGGATGACTTCCATGGCCTGGCAGTGGTGCTGGACAGGCGCCCCCCTGAAAAACATGTTTGGTTTCTCCGGTTGGTGTCTTTCGCTGTGGTTTCACCACGTTGACCAATCGCTGGGTGATGTGATCATCTGTGTACCTTCACCGCGTGCCCGAGATTGCGTCCTGCAGACTTCCGGCAGATGGTCCGCTGTAGACTGTGACGACCGCGTTGTTGGCGTCCGTCCCCAGATTGGCGGCCGCGTGCAGAAGACTGCCGCGGTGCTGGCGCACGAGCGCGCGGTGCTGGCCGGCCCCGCCGACGATCCGCTCAGCGAGGACGCCGACGCGGTGCTGGAGCTGGAGCTGCGCCCGCCGGACCCGGCGGCCGGCGCCGCGCCGCGGCGTCCGCCGTCCAGCGCCAGCTCCAGCTCCGGCGACAGCGACAGCGACTCCGAGTCGAGCGAGCCGGCCGCGACAGAGACGCAGGTGGTGCGCGAGGCGGATGTGGCGATCCCCGACAGTGATGACGGACAAAGTGGTGCGAGTGTGGCGGCGGAGGGCCGCCGCAGCGAGGCGGCCCCGGAGGAGGCCGCCGCGAACGGGACTGCCGAGGCAGCCCGCGCGACGGACGCGGGGTTAGAGACGGTGGCGGCGGCGGCGACGGACAGCCAGCCCGTGGGGGAGGCGGGTGGCGAGTCGGAGTCGGTGCCGGCCGAGCCAGAGTCCGTGCCCGTTGAGTCAGAGCCGGTTCCGACCGAGCCGGAGCCGGTCCCGGCCGAGCCGGAGCCGGCAATCAGGTCGCGAGGCGCCGGGGACGGGGGCGCGGGCGAGCGGCTGTCGCTGGTGCAGCAGCGGCTGCGGCAGTTCGCGGCGAGCGAGCGGCCGCAGCCAGCGCCCCGGCGCCACGCCGGACTGGCGCGCGACACGCCGCCGGAGGCCGACCGAGGGCGAGAGCCAGCCGCGCCGGAAGAGGCGGCCACTCTGGGCGCGGGAGAGGTCCCCGCCCCGGCCAGCGGGGGTGAAGAGGAGGTGCCGCTGACGGAGGAGCGGCGGGACGGAGAGGAGCGTTTGGGAGATGAAGATGGAGGAGCCCCAGGAGCGGAGGGGGGAGCTGAGAAGCAGGATTCTCCGGTCAAGGAGCCTCGGCCGGACGAACCTGCGAACCCGTTCGATGATGATGATGATGATGAGGATGAAGCCGAGGAAGCCCCGGCGGAGAAGCCTTCCGCTGTACCCACTGTTGAAATCACCGAGCCAACGCCCACCAAGCCTGCCGAGGCGAAGGAATACAACCCCTTTGACGAAGACGAGGAAGAGGAAGAAGAAGTGGTAAAGACGAAGCCAGAGGAAACTGTGGAGGCGAAGGCTGAGGAGGAGTATCCGGACGACCTCAATCCGTTCGGTGATGACGGAGAAGATGATGCACCCCCTGTTGCACCACCTCAGCCGCCCAAGCCGGCTGAGGCTAGCCTTAATCCCTTCGGAGACGATGAGGATGAAGAAGAGACGGGGTCTGGGTTTGTCACCCCGGTGTCCAGTACCCAGTCTTCTCCCTCCAAGCCCGTGAGGTGAGGATGCCTGTCTATGAACCAGTGTTGTATGTGTTTTGATGTGGTGTCATTTGCCGATTCCGCGGCAGTATGGCACACGCCGGCTGGCCGTGTTTGGATTTATTTGTGACGGAATAATATTTCTGTATGGTTTGTGTACTGATGTTTTGTTGTTTACTTAGTTACGGATTATGTGCCTTTTTTGTCTAGTTTCGGTTAGTTGTGTGGTGACTCGCTGTCGTTCAAGTAAGACTTGACATCATACAATTGTTAGTTTTATTGGGCTCAGTTTTGTCGCATGTGTAATCCCGTCCCTTTTCTGGACGTTCCACATTGCTGTCAGCATTTTAGCTGTGAAGGGACTGGCACTGCCCGCACTGCCCGCCGTGCTCGGCGTGTTTGGGAGGCAGTGCGTCTGTGGTGTTTGGCCATCCTCCGCCGGTGGCGTTCGCCGTGCTGGCGCGGACGCCGCCGCCTGACCCCGCGTGTGTCCCGCCCGGCAGCAGCCCGCGGGAGATCAACCCGTTCGAGAAGCCGCCGCGGCCGCCGCCGCCCACGCTGGACCGGCGCGTGCTGGCGGCCCGCGCCGCCGCCAGCACGCCGCCGCGACCGGCAGAGCCGCCTGGTGAGCAGACACCGAACCTCGCGCTGCCCGGCTTACGCTGGCGTGTTGAAGCCGGGAATGTGTGTGCACGTGCTGTTTCAGCGACGCTTTGATCTGGCCCGTTTTAGACAAAGCTGCGGCCTGGCTTAAGGTGCAGTTCCGCGTTGATGTCGCCACCTGTGCATCTGAGCCGCCTGTTGCGGCTGCAGGTCTGATTTATTAGAAGCTGATTACTTTCCCACGTTGGCTCAGCGCTTTGAAAATCTCCTGTGGTATGGACGGTGGCGCCACGGTTTTATGTGCAGAGGGTTTTAACCTAGGCCGTTCGCCACTTTGCTCATGGCGCCGGCCAGCTTTGCACCCGTGTACCTTTGAAAGCCTGCAATTTCGTGTCAATTAAAGTTGAAAAATCTGACAAGAGAATTGCTTGGAGCGACCAAAGACGAACTGCGATGGCGTTTTGCATTCGTCGATTTGCGCTGAAAGGAAATTCCGGTGGCATTCCAAATGTTTACATACATTCGTGGGCCCCATGTCACAACGGGTACAGCTGCTACGCTAGATCCACTGCTCACGTGGCTTGGGCACATTCTCCCCCTACCACATCCTTGTAGCATCTCTCTGGCATTCGGTTGACCCCAGGGCTGTGGCGGACGCGCGTGTCTTTATGTCTGTGTGCCCGCCTGACCCTTGGAAGTTTCGCGTTGGTGGATGCGACGAGGTGACCACGCAGTGTATCGATATCTGTGCGCAGCTAATGCATAAAAGTTCGCCTGCTGGGCCTCCTGACGGCCCCGTGATCACGCGTCTGTGTACCGTGTCTGTGGACCTCGTGACGGCTGTGTGAGTACGTCCCTGTGTGCAGTCCCGACTCCCTGTGAGCAGCTGCGGCCCTCTGACGGCCGTGTGATCCCCGTCTGTGTGCAGCCCCTCGTGACGGCTGTGTGAGTACGTCCCTGTGTGCAGCCCCGACTCCCCGTGAACAGCCGCGGCCCGCTGACGGCCGTGTGATCCCCCGTCTGTGTGCAGCCCCTCGTGGCGGCTGTGTGAGTACGTCCCTGTGTGCAGCCCCTCGTGGCGGCTGTGTGAGTACGTCCCTGTGTGCATCCCCGACTCCCCGTGAGCAGCTGCGGCCCGCTGACGCCCGTGTGATCCCCGTCTGTGTGCAGCCCCTCGTGGCGGCTGTGTGGAGTACGTCCGTGTGTGCAGCCCCGACTCCCTGTGAGCAGCTGCGGCCCGCTGACGGCCGCGTGTGCGTGTCCTCGCGCGCAGGTCTGGTGCGTGAGCAGCGCTCCGGATCGCTCACCTCGCTCACCTCCAGCTCGGGGAAGAAGAAGCGGCCGGCGCCGCGGCCGCCCGGCCTCAGCTCGCCCTCGGCCAGCCAGGTGAGCGCCGCCGCAACGGGACCGTCGCGTCGCCGCCGCCGGTCGGCGCAGCCGGTCTGCGGCTGGCCGCCCCCCTGCCGGCTTAGGGGAGGGACGGGACCGGCGGCTGAGAACGGCCCGGGCTTAAACTCGGTGGCAAACAGGCTAATGAACACGGGGACTCGACGTACGTGTTAACGTGAGACAGAAGCCCGACGTCTGTGCAGACAGTCCCGCTACATGGGCGGCGCGACGCGAAGCGAGTCATTCGTTTGAAGCGCCCCTGACGTACGGGTCGACACGCCAGATGCCGTGTGCTGAGCGGCGTCGGCATTAGTGCGGTGTCTTGCTTCGGTCGACTAGCGGTTCTTGGCGTCAGCAGGGAACTGCAGAATCGGCTCCGACTCCAGGGACGGGCTGGTGGTGATGCGCGATGCCCGCGGAGGCACCTCCTGCACCTGATACGCTGCTGCGCTCTTTCGCTGCCGGTGCTGTCCTGCGGAGTCTGACCTGACCTGACCTGACTCTGACCCCACCAGGGCGTGTCTCCGGTGGACTCTCCCGCGACCTTGAGGAAGCGTCACGCCCCGCCCCCGCCGCCTGTCGGCCAATCATCGCCCGGCAATCCGGAGGCGCCGCCCAATCCGGAGCGCAGCAAGGCCGAGAAGGAGCAGGACAACTATACGAAAATGAACCTTACCAATAAGTCGATCCAGGGGAAATTCAAGAGACGGAAAGGACCTGCCCCCCTTCGACCCAAGCCTATCAAGAGACAGGTAATTGCGAAGTGGGCGAAAGATGTCGGTCGTGCGTGTATGCGTAGGAATTCTGTACTGGGCACTAACGTTAGCTGAGTGCGATCTGCGGACAGAAAAGAGAAAGTATGAAGACATGCGGAAGATATGCTTGGCAACATCCGTGTCATGTGTGCAAAGCTTTCATTGATCTAACCAGCTTCGTGTTGGGACTGCCGGAGCGCCCGTTAACAGCGGTAGCCATCGCCCATCATTCTGTCCTGCGCTCTCATTTTGTCAGTGACACGCCACTCATTCTGTCAGCGACACACCTCTCATTATGTCAGTGACACACCTCTCATTATGTCAGTGGTATACCTCTCTTTCTGTCAGTTACACATCTCTCATTCTGTCAGTGACACACCTCTCATTCCGTCAGTGACACACCCCTCATTCTATGAACTTCGCGCTCGTGTCGCCGTCACTGATGTTGCCGCCGCTGCCGCCGCCGCAGGTGAAGACGCTGCCTCCCAAGGAGACCCAGACAGAGCTGCACGACATCAACGTGAAGCAGCTGGAGCTGGAGCGGCAGGGCGTGGAGCTGGAGAAGACCATCCGGCAGCTGACGGAGCTGGAGGACAAGCAGCAGAAGGGTGCGCCCTTGCGGGGGAGGAGGGGAGGGGGGGGGGGCTGCAGGGCTCGCACTTGACCAGGGGCCGGTGACCGCGCGAGCAACGGGCGTCGCGCGCTCACGAACGCCGCTGGGGATTGTAAATGTAGCGGAGGCTTCGGCCGAAGCTGTTCAGGGCGTCGGCCGCGGGGGCCGCGGGCCGTCTGGGTCTCGAGCCAGGTACTCGTGACGCAGTGGTGAGTCGGTACGCCCGCTCGGCAGTCAGCATGTGGCGACAGGTAGCCGCGCCCGCCGCCGGCCGGTCCGACAGTGTGAGCGCCGCTCGTTACCAGCGGCTGACGGTGCCGACAGAGCTGGACAGCACGGCGCCCTACGGCCTGGACATCGAGGACATGATCCTGCAGCTGTTTGACCTGGTCAACGAGAAGAACGCCCTGTTCCGGCGCCAGGCCGAGCTGATGTACATGTGAGTGTGGTCAAGCTGGTGTGCAGTCGAATATCGTCGAGTGTTGGACGTGTAGCGGGATTCAGTGATGTGGTGGACATGCAAGCAGGGCCGAACATGTCCGCTTGCCAGCCGGAGGAGCTAATGTGTTTGCGGACCGATGTCACCAGCTACCGTAGCTGTGTTTTGCCTGCGAATTGTGGCGATTATCGCCCCTGATTATCACCACCGTGATAATCGGCGCGGAGTCTTATCCTTGCGCCGTGCCAGTCAGATGTCGAGCGCAGTGTGCTGGTGTCTTAGTTTTCGCTGGTTAGCCGGGAACGCGTCCAGCCCGCTCACCACCGGACCGCGCCTGGCGTCCTCCCGCCGCCGGACCCGCGGGTCCGCTGACCTGTTTGGTGCGCGCTCCACCAGGCGGCGCCAGCACCGTCTGGAGGAGGAGCACGCCGAGCTGGAGTACGAGATCCGCTGTCTGATGATGAAGGCCGACTCGCTGAAGACGGAGCCGGAGCGGCAGCGGGAGCAGCAGCTGATCGACCGGTGCGAGAGGCCGCCGCCGGCCGCGCGGCGCGCTCGAGGGCTCGGGGTCTGCCGAACCGCCGGGGCGTGGTGTGCTCAGCTGGCGCCAGAGCGCTGCGTCAGCTGTCGTCCCGGCTGGAGGCTGACAGCGCCTTGGAGCGGTCTGGCTCAGTCCTGTAGGCGTGTTCGCGTAGACCGTCGGATTTTTAAGGGTCCGGCAGAAGCCAAGGGTGGGGCGGGGACGTCGGATCTGGGTTATATCTGAGAGTTATATTTCCATGCGTCGTGTGTGGGCCGACATATTGGGTGCCGTTATTGTCGAAAACTCGGCTAGCCCTCGCTCTGGAACGCCACCCTCACGCGTGCCCGCCCGCTCCGCCGCCCCCAGGCTCGTCTCGGTGGTGGAGCAGCGCAACGAGATCGTGACCATGCTGGAGATGGAGCGCATCCGCGAGATCCAGGAGGACGCCAGCATCGACTACCACATGGGTCTGTACACAGGTATACCGCGCCCGCCCGGGGCAAAGACGCCGACGCCGCGCGCCGCCGCCCGCCCGCCCGCCCGGGCCGGTCGTCCTGACTCGCCGCCGGCCGGCCGGGCGGCGGCGGGGGCGCGCGCGCCTTAGATCCAGCACCGCACGGCTCAGGCAGTCTCTCTCCCTCTCGCTTCTTGGCGCAGTGTTCGGAGGCGCCGCGTGGGACTGGCGCGTGCATGTAGCTGGCGGTGTCGAGCTTGCTGCCGGCTTGTCTGCTGGCGTGTGGAATGCTTGATCCTTTCCGTTGCGCGTGGTTCTGTGATGGCTGAGGCGGCCTGGAGGCTGTTGATGGATGGATGCCACCTAACCGGACCGGAAGCGCCTTCAGGCGTGGGAGCCTCACTCTGCGCGGGGCATGTCGGCCTCGCGCCTGCTCCCTCCGCCGCCTGCTGGCATCACCTGTGCACGCTCGCCGCCTGCGCTCTCCTCTCTCCCCATCTCTCGCACGTAGGGCCGTGTGGCGCCGCCGGCCGTCGGCCGCGGCGGCCGGCGGTGCCCGCGGCGCCCCTGTCGGCTGCCCCGGGCTGGCGCGGTGGCCGTGGCGGGCCTCCTCCAACTGGAGGGGCCGGCACGCCGCCGCCGCTGCATGCTGGTCGGGGATGGGGCGGGGGGGGGGGAGCCACTTCCGCCGCTGGCGGTGGCAGGCTAGCTTCTGTAACGTAATGGAGTTACACCAGTTCAGCATAGCATTAATTTGGTTTCCTTTGACATGCTGCTTTGCTGTATGGCATTCCTCTTGTCTAACGCGTGTCTCGCGTGTATGCGAGATGGCCCATGAGCAGGTTTTCCAAGTTTTGTTTCCACTAACGTCGCGTTCGGTTATGTGACATTTAATTCATACTCCAAGCATGTGATTGTGTTCAGCAGATCATGCTAACCTGGCGTTTGGTTTCACAATATTAATTACTTTCGCATGCCCGCGGCATTGCACGTTGGAAAATCCGTGCAGTTGCACGATTTAGCCTTGTTTTTTCTCGGTGGATGAGACCAGTAGTGGTACTTTGGCTGAAATCAGTGAAACCAGGCAAGCTATGAGTAAAGGCCGTTGCTTGGCATTGCTGCTGCGGATGTCACCCACTGTGACCAAACACTATCTTTCTGCGGCGGCTTGTATTGCCGCAGGATACAGGGCCGTATGGAAATCGTCTTTCCGGGGAAAATAGTTTGATAACGTTGCGAAGCTCTGCCCCGGCTCCGTATCAGCGGTGAGGGATGTGGTCTAACAATGCGAACTTCGGATTTTCCAGCGGAAAGAGTGGGCTCGGCAGAACCGACGCCGGAAAAGAAAAAGAAGGACAAGAAGAAGAAGAAAAAGAAGGACAAGGAGAAGAAGGAGAAGGAGAGAAGCGGCAAAAAGAAAAGGACCAGGACGACGACAAGGACATAGACGAGAAGGAACAGGCGACGGAGAAGAAGAAATCCAAGAAGATTAAGCTAAAGAAACTGTTTTCGTAGCCGAGCGATTAGAAGGAATAATAACTCCGTGGCGCGTGTCTCTAGTGTCGTTACGTGACGCGCCGGCCCGTGCAGCAGTCATTCGCCCAGCGTGACGAGGCCGGCCCCCTGGCTCCCGCAGCGGCGCGCGCGGCTCCGAGTCGCGTCGGTCGCCGCCGCGGGACGGCCGCGCTCGCCGGCGCCGCCAGCGTGCGGCGGCGCCGGCGGCGCGCGGATTTCAACCTGCAGTCATAGTCGTCGCGCCGGCGGGAAGCGTGCTCGGAGGCGGCAGTGCGTGCGTGTGTGCGAGCGTCCGTTATCTAAGCGTAGGAGGAGCGTGCGCGTGTGTCGGTGGTCGGATGTGGCCGCCGGCCGGTTGTCCGTGTGTAGAGAACGGTGTCGCGGCCGTGCTGTTGACCCTGCGACCGTCGGGGCAGGGTAGCGGTGTCACGCCAGGGGTCGGCAGAGACCGCGCTACATTCCATGCAGCGGGGGAGGGCCGCCGGGCTGTCCTCGCAGGTGAACAAATATATTTTAATAGTGTCTGTTGTGACTGTTTTCCGCCTGGAAATGGCCCTGATAGTCTGTGGGACGCAGAGCCCCAATCATGATCATGCTTGTGGCTGCTTAAGCTCTCGTTGCGCTCAGAGAGGAAGCGTGGTCATGATGTGACGGGTTTGGCCTGCGCGCGAGAGTCGGGGAAGGCAGAGTTTTTATAGCCGTTTAATCTCCACTGTGTTGTTGAAGGCACTGCTCGCTGAGAGAGAATCGACAGGGGAAACCGTGTACGATTTCTGCGACATTTCTCGTGAGTAATCATTCATGGCCTTCAAAACTTTCCTTGCTATTTGTTGTCACGCCGTGCTCATTGCGGTATTCCACCACGAGCCGTAGTGCCTGAACCATGAGGCGGGTTCCAATTGCACACAAGTGAGATAGAAGAAGCAGCGTGTCAAACCCTCCCCTCCCCCTGCCCCCCAATGGAAGACCCTGCGGACCGAAGCACCCCCAAAGGCCTTGTTGACCGGGCCAACACCGTTAGAACGGCATTTGTTCAGATGAACCTGTTTGAACTACACGCGCAGGTCGTGATGGAAAGCCAAATGGCGGGTGGTGGGCGAATCGCTCTGAACAACCACGCCCTGTGTCTCGTCCGCGTCCCTTGCGCGGAAACGCCGCGCAATGACCGTTAGCGCACGGTGCTCGTTTCACGGGGCGAGGACGGCGCGGCCGGTACGCCGCACAGAAACCTTCCCACCACCTCGACGACCGAACCTGAAGCCACGGGGCGGGAGGCGGTCCAGGCAACGCAGACATGACTTGTTATCATTTGTGTGCCACGCAAAGCGCCGTGCCTGCCGCTAATGTTGACCCTGGCACGGCGCCGCGTGGTCCCTGGGCCGCAGTCGTCGGCTCCGGTACCCGGCGCCGCACCCACATTCCACCGGCAGCGGCGCTCACGTATGACGCAAACTCAGGGTCCTCGCCGTACTGTCGAATTGGCATCCTCAATTGCGACGGCTCCGCTGCTTGCTGTCACGCTTCAACGGCCCGGCCGCCGCCGTCGCTCCGCCGGCCCCGCCGCCGCCGTCGCTCCGCTATTTCCGCCTCCGTCGTTGCCACGCTCCGCCGGCCCCGTCGCTGCTGTCGCTCCACCGGCTCCGTCGCCGCCGTCGCTCTGCTATTTCCGTCGCTGTTGTTGCTATGCTCCGCCGGCTCTGTCACCGCCGTCGCTCCGCCGGCTCAGTCGCTTCCGTCGCCTACGTTGCCGTGCTCCGTCGGCTCCGTCGCCGCCGTCGTCGGCGTCGGTGCCGACGCACCTGTGGGTTGGTATCGATCGGGCAGCGTCGGCCGGGCAGTCTCGACCTGTTGGCGGCCGACGGCGGCGGCGGCCAGCGCGGCGGCGACAGGCGGCCCAGGCCAACGACGCGAGCGCCGCAGCAGCGCGCGCTCCGGCGGCGCGCGCTCCGGCAGCGCGCGAAACGACGCCTGAGGCACTTCGGCGGCGGTCGGCGCGCGGCTGTGGCGAGGCGGCGGAGGCGGCGCAGGCGCTGCGGCGTGAGCCAGACGCGCCGCACTGGGTGTTGTACTGTGGGCAGCGTGCGCTAAGCCGGCGGGGAAGAAAATCACAGGAGGCAGCTGAGGCGCGGCGTTCGCGGGGCCTGGTGAGTGTTCGTGGATGTCTCAGTGGGTCCGTGGAGGTGGGCGCGTGCAAGGTCATGGCTTGTGCTGAAAAATATGTGCATGCACCCGGTTTTGGTTCACTTTGTTGCCGCCTGTCTGCGCCCTCGTGCCCAACACACTGCTAGCTGGACATCCTTGCATCACAACGTGCTGTGAAGTAATAATGGGCCAGGATGGTTAGTTGAGCATTATGCGTTTCGAACAAATAGGTGGATCTTGCCAGAATTAGAACTATGGTCATACCATTGTCTAACATTAAATCAACACAATCGCATTACGAGCATATTGATAAAAACTCGCGCTTCTCACGATGACGCACGCTATCGTTTGGATGTGCAAAATGAAAGCATCCGTCGCGCTTCCATTCACCATTTGATTCCATTCAGCAGTTGATTCGAAATCTTCGCAGCTCTCCGTTTCACCGGAGTAAAGCGCAGCCATCAAAGGCGCCCTGGCATCCCGGCTGCCCTGGCGGGTGCTCCGTACAAACACCCGTCAGAATCCCACTTATCCGGAGATTCCGGGCCAAGCGAGACCCGTTACCCGGGGGCTTCCCACGGTGGCTGAAGTCTTGAAGTCTGAGGTTGAAGTCCCCCTACTGCTGAGGTTGAAGTCCCCCTACTGCCCACATTCCACATTCATGGCATGGTTAGAACTGGCCGCAAAAGCTTCAGTGCAGTACGAAACAAAAACAAAACAATGGTGAAACCGCGCGTTTTACTTCAACAAACTGGCGATATGGAGTCAGGTGGAGGTGGCCAGAGAAGCCGCCTGCGTGCGGCGTGCGGAGCTGTGCGCACCAGCACCACTCGTGGCGTGAACAGTGAATCGAGGGATGAATCAGTGACACCGCCCGTCATGCTGAGCCATCACTGCTCGGCGCGCTGGCCTTATCAAGAGCCGTTGTCAAACGGCAGGTGGCAAATAGTTGCCGGAGTAACTTACCGATACTTGCATCTTTCACTCTAACAGGCTCCGTCCCAAATGAAGGGTCCCGTCCAACTGGCATGAGGACCCTTGTTCTTCACGGGCGCGCCTCACAGCACATCATACACACGTGTATGATGTGTTATTTGCTTATGTTCACGGAACCAAAATACCCACACTGCTAACCTATTTAAAGCAGCATACCATATCGCCGAAGCGTGTTGCCGACTGCGCCATCTTTACCACACGTCGATCGCCACGGAAGCCAGCTCGCCAATAGTGCCGACGACGTCTGCGCCTGCCTGGGTAACGTGCCGAAAAGTTGAGACACGAAGCCGCTTCCGACACGAGCAGCGCAGGGCCGCATCTGCCCTAAACCGCCGCCCTTGCCCCCAGGGCCTGACTCTGCTTCGCTCCAGCCGCAGCGCCGGTTCTGCCGAGGAGCCGGCATGATCCGTCTGGAGGTGAGCGGCGCAGGAGCCTGCTCCGGCCTGCTGCACCTGACTCCCGACCGCACCGCCAGGTGGCAGGTCGTGCTCCGTCTCTTGCGCTGCGCTCGGCTGGCGCCGCTGGTGGAGGCGCTGCTTCAATTGGCCGAGAAACACTGCAGGTGAGCCGTGGTGGGGTCTCGCGTTTCCATGGCGAAATACCGGGACTTCCTCTCTGGTGGACATCTGATGTTTTAGGTGATGTTTTGCAGAGCCTGCCTCGTGCCACCTTTGGTCCCAAGGTTTGCCAGGGTGGCTTAGCTGTGTGAGCTCCGATGTCACGCTCGTCACTGAAGCTGAAGGATATGTCGACACAGGTCGACAGAGTGTGCTTTCAATGGCTTAGTTTAAAGTTTGCTGAGATGGTGAAGCTGGTTTGCTGGTAAAGCTTCGTTTTGAGATCGTTTTGTGACCACGAATTCGCTTTTGTTCCAGAGAACTATCCGATTACGAGACATCTCCGCACCACACCCAGCCAAAGCCGCTGACCAATCAGAGCCAGTCAAGCTCTGATGAGGCGTCGTCAGGAACCAATGGGGCGCCGTCTCACCGTGACGTGGCCGCCAGTAGGAGGGGCCTGACGACGGCCGCCGACGTCAGAGCAGACCTGCAATATTGGGAAGGGAACCTTGCCGGCCAGCGCGCGCACCTCCACAGCGAATCTCCCAGTGGAGAGAAGCACCACCTCGCGGAGAACCTCTCCAGCACCCGGCACGGGGAGAGCCTCCCTTCCGATGCCGTCCATGAGATGCGCCCGATGAACAGCGCGCCGGCCGACGGTTACGCCGAGTCATACTGCGGGGAGCCACCGCCGACGGGCGGACGTCATGTGCGAGATCCGAGCCGGAAGCCGCTGCGGACATCAAGCGGCGAGGACGGACCGGCGGGACCGGTGGGACCGGTGGGACCGGCGGGACCGGCGGGACCAGCGAGTGCGGATGTCGCCGGTCGGTCGGCCACGTGCGGAGCTGATCACCACAGGCGCCGGACGGTGCCGGCTGAAGAGGGCCGGCCGGGTGGCCCCTCGTCGGCGCGCCCGCCTCGCTCCACGCGGCCCTGCGTGTTGCGACGAGGTCGCGCCATCTGCAGCACAGATGGCGCTACCATTTGTGATATAGATGGCGCTGTCATTTGCGCCTCGGATGATCCCAGCACCGGTAACAGGAGCGAGACCACAACGTGCGAGACAGGTGGCGCCACCTGCAGCCCGTGCGCACCGGCCGGTCGTGCCGTGGCAGATGCTGTCATCTGCCTCGCAGGTGGTGCCACCATGTGCGGTGAAGCCAGCGACGTTCCTGCAAGCTCGGCAACAGAGGACTTCCGTGCCCACGGGGGCACTGCTGATGAGGGTTGTGACTCTCCGCTTGGATCTCCAGCTCCGGTCGATCCGTGCCAGCTCCAGAACAGGTCAGGTCAGATAAACGCCCAGCCTCTGATTTTCAAGAACGTTGGACCTGTGACGCTGTTGCAATCTGAGTAGCATCGTGGTTTTTTCAGAGGAGATGCGGCCCAAACACGCTTTGCAAAGCATTTATGCAATAAGGAATGTGTGCCGCACCAAATGGTAATAGCTGCTGCAAACCTGCCGAAGGACCAGAATGCAGCCATGGCTTAGGACGATCCATCCAAAAAAACACGATCCAAAATAAAACAGTGCCACCGTTTACGACACTGATTCCAGCTGCTACGGGCAACACCCAGCACCAGCCGCGCCGAGTGCCACGGAGGCACCAGCACAAGCTCAGGCACCGTCAGTAAAGGCGGCGCCACCATCGCCCTGCGCCAGCTGCGACTGCGTGCACGTGTCGGCGGCGTGTCCGCTGCTGCAGCCACGATGCTGGGTGCAGGACGCCGACGGCCCGACGGCTGCCGAAACGCTACCGCCGTGTCTGCACATAGATGGCAGCATGGTGCGGGCGGGAGCGGCCGGCCTGGCTGCCTTCACGCTGCTTGGGCCGTTGCGGGGCCGCCCGGTGCGGCCCGAGCAGGTCACGGACGCGACGGGCCTCCACCACATCTGGGAGGTCAGTTGGGAGGCGGCGCAAGGTGGGGTAGAAGTACAGGTGGGAGGCGTGTCTCCGGGGAGGAGTCGGTGCAGGTGAGGTGTGGTCAACGTTCTGTTCCCCTGAGGCACGGCCATTGGCCGAAGGTCTTCATCAGTGTCGACGGTAGATGGTCTCACGTTTAGCATCTTCTGTAGACTGTGGTAAGATAAAAAGGATTCGACTGTAGTAAGATAAGTTTCACATGAAGCATGGTGTATTCCGTTCAGACGGCAGCTAAACGTGTCACGTCCTCCCAGCTCGGGGAACCAGTGAACATGAAACTCCCGAGAGCCCTAACAAAACGCTAAACAGACTTCTCAAACAGCTAAACGTGTCACGTCCTCCCAGCTCGGGGAACCAGTGAACATGAAACTCCCGAGAGCCCTAACAAAACGCTAAACAGACTTCTCAAACAGCTAAACGTGTCTGGTCCTCCCAGCTCGGGGAACCAGTGAACATGAAACTCCCGAGAGCCCTAACAAAACGCTAAACAGACTTCTCAAACAGCTAAACGTGTCTGGTCCTCCCAGCTCGGGGAACCAGTAAACATAGAACTCCTGAGAGCCCTAACAAAACGCTAAACAGACTTCTCAAACAGCTAAACGTGTCACGTCCTCCCAGCTCGGGGAACCAGTAAACATAGAACTCCTGAGAGCCCTAACAAAACGGCGTCGCCTCTGGTGCGCCACCTTTGGCACTGGTGCGCAATGACGTAAGCGTACCGTCTCACTAAACCACTACCACTGTTTACATCTTCAAGGAAATGTCTGCCAACAGGCATGAATCAAATGATGAGCCTTTATGCAGATTGGAACTTGTGCACTCCCATGGGCACGTAGCCGCATTTCTAAACGTGTACTCATATTGTTTATGCGGAAAGTGTATTTTTGAGCATGTCAGAGCCTGCTCGCTTGCCCTGCTCCAGAGATGCAATAGAGCAGATGCAGTCAGTAGACCCCCATTCGGCTGTTTTGGGATGGGAGGAAGCTTCGGCCCCTAACTTTCAGAAGACAGGCTAAATATGGGGTGATCCGGGCTGTTTGGCTATGCTTTGTAGGAAGCCTTGGCCAATTTTTTCCATCTCGCGTTCGAAATAATTTCTCAAAACTGCGCCCCTGAGTGCGTGCTGCTCGGGGGCAGACTTCTCAGGAAGGCTGCTCTATCCCAGGTGTACGGGGAGGGCGTGTTCCTTGACACGATAGACCCTGCCAGCTCCAACTGGTTCCGGTTGCTGCGACCGGCGCCGACGCGGGCCGAACGGACGGTGGCAGTCCTCACCAGGGGACGCTGCCTGTTCGCCGTCACCACGTGCGACCTCGCTCCCGACCAGGAGCTGCTGTACTGGCAGGACGACCCCGGCAACACCTGGCAGCGCAAGAACATGCTGAAGAACAGTGAGTTGGCGCCATGCGCGACGGCGAGCCTTCTGTGGTAAGGTCGAACTCAGTCGGCCATACACAGCGAAGTCGAACACAGGCTCGTAATGCTCATTTACCGATTGATTTTGCTGGTGAACGCGCTTGGACGCATATGAGGTGCAGCGTCATGATGAAAGAGCATCATCGAGGACTTTTAATGACCTGATTGTGAGTGGTATCAAGCTGTGAGAGCAACGTCTTATGCTCTCCATGACATTCTCATGAGCGCCCTCCTCGTTTTGGGAAGATTTGCCGACTTGAGAGTTGAAGTAAAACGTATGTTGCATGTATGCTTCCAGGCTGTGGCGGCTGCAATCTCAAGTTTGAGCACCCCTTGTTCTACCGGCGCCACTGCTCATTATTTCACGAGCCGGGAACCCCACTCACCATTCGCAAGTACTACTGTAAGGTGAGCAGGCCGACTTCAGAAGCTGCTGTGTTTACACCTGTCTCTGACCACGCCTCAGGTGTGCGGTGAGGCGGTGCTGGGACGTCAGGAGCTGCTGTGTTTACACCTGTCTCTGTCCACGCCCCAGGTGCGCGGTGAGGCAGTGCTGGGACGCCAGGAGCTGCTGTGTTTACACCTGTCTCTGACCACACCTCAGGTGTGCGGTGAGGCGGTGCTGGGACGCCAGGAGCTGCTGTGTTTACACCTGTCTCTGACCACACCTCAGGTGTGCGGTGAGGCGGTTCTGGGACGCCAGGAGCTGCTGTGTTTACACCTGTCTCTGACCACGCCTCAGGTGTGCGGTGAGGCGGTGTTGGGACGTCAGAAGCTGCTGTGTTTACACCTGTCTCTGACCACACCTCAGGTGTGCGGTGAGGCGGTTCTGGGACGCCAGGAGCTGCTGTGTTTACACCTGTCTCTGACCACGCCTCAGGTGTGCGGTGAGGCAGTGCTGGGACGTCAGGAGCTGCTGTGTTTACACCTGTCTCTGACCACGCCTCAGATGTGCGGTGAGGCGGTGCTGGGACGTCAGGAGCTGCTGTGTTTACACCTGTCTCTGACCACACCTCAGGTGTGCGGTGAGGCGGTGCTGGGACGTCAGAAGCTGCTGCGGCATGCTTTGGAGCAGCACGGCGGTGCCGGCGCTTACCAGTGCCAGCACTGCGGCAAGGTCAGTCCACTGACCGTTTATGTCGTTCTCTTTACGTTAGGCACTTGTAGAGCCGTAAATAGACTTCCTGCAGGTTTTTATGAAAGATCCCCCGGATCAGATGATTTACCTACCGGCGACACTAAATACAACGCACGTAAAGCACAGCAATACTGATGTCACTGTCTCGTTATTCCACTTTCATAACCACGAAAAGCCCAGGTGGCAACAGTATATTGGTAACGCGAAGGTGCTGCATGCCTGTCCCGGCAATGGGTATTTAGTTACACATCAGGCGACAGGAGATATGCTACTTCAGCTTGCGGCTATTTGAAACGCCACCCACACCGCGGGAGAGCCGCCCCCTGTAGGACAATCTCCCACAAGTTTTCCCCAGCAATCTCACATGTTCAGACGTCGTCCGTCTGCAGCTGTGACCCTGTCGGCGCCGCGTCACTGACTGTCCCGTCGCCAGTACTTCCGTCGGCTCGGCTACCTGGACGTACACCGGAACCACGGCTGCGCGGCCAACCCGCTGCGCACGCACCCGCTCTGTCACCTGTGCGGCACGCGCTTCTGTCAGCCGCAGAAGCTGCGCGCGCACATCCGACGTGTCCACTCAGGTGCGCTCCCCGGCGGCTGTATTACCGTCACGTAACTTTGGTAACGGCGGCCGCCATCTTAGCGGCGAGACAGAAACGTGCTGTTTGTGGCAGATACCGTAATTTTTTATTCGAATTTTATCAAAAATGTATTGCAGCATGGATGCAAAGTGTTGTTTAGTGAATGGTGTGTGCTTAATAGGACCATTCAGCACACGCCCAACCAATGTCATGTGTGGTAGCGAGATCACCTTCGTTCCATCCAGGCAGATAATGACGTTGAGATACAAATGTAGCATACACTCGGTCGCAACGTCTTAGGAAAGCCAGCAGTTGATATCAATATTGTGATGGCGGTCGTTTGATCTTTCGGGTGCGTCGACTACAGCGGACGTCGTGCGCCATGGGATGAAGGTTGGATGCCGTGTCATAGTCCTCCGCCTTCTCCATCTCTGGGGATGGCAAACCGCGACAAAAACAACCTCGCGGAAAGCGCCGATGAGAGACGTTTCACTTATCACCTCACCAGCGCCCGGGTTCTCGTAACAACACGAACAACTTATCGTGCCTATCGTCGAAACGTGCGAGGTGATCTTGCGTGGCTACCCGAAGGCACATTCGGAGTCCAGGAACGGCCAAATGGGCGGTGTGGCTCGCACCGGAACACGTACCAGGTTCCGGCCCTGTCTCGCGCTGCTGCCGGAGACACGAGTGTGGTCCCTGTGCCTCTCGTCGCTGACTGGAGCACGCTCGTGACCCCAATCTCTGTTTCTCTCGCTGCTGACCAGAACAAGCGCGTGATCCCTGCGCCTGTCGTCACTGATCCCGAAGCGCGCGTGGCTTTGGTCTCTACGTCTTGCGTTGCCAATCATAGTACCGCGTGATCCCTGTGTCCCTGCTGCTGAGCAGCGCGGGTGGTCCCCGTCCCAGTGTCTGCCGTTCCTGACCGGAGCTCCGGAGCTGACCGGAGTTGCGCCGCAGAGGCCGGCTCGCCGCCGCCGGAGTTCCGCTGCCAGAGCTGTGGCCGGGTGCTGGGCTGCGGCACGGCACTCCGACGGCACATGCGTGAGGTGCACGCGGCGGCGGACGGCCGTCACGCCCAGCTCCACTGCCGCCGCTGCGGCAAGCCCTTCCAGAACCGTTCCAACCTCAAGATCCACATGCTCACGCACTCCGGCGTCAAGCCGTTCCAGTGAGTGGTGCGAGGTTTGGTGAATGGCGAGCTCCCGTCATGATACGTGCTGGTAGGCTCTGCTATGGGTAAAAACCGTCAAAGATTACCTGGCGTTCGCGACGAAGTAAGGCGCTAGTTTTCCGTGGAAATATTAAACTGTGGTATTTTCTCAGTTTGATGTGTTATGCGCACCTTGCTTTCATTTGGTGTGTTGAATGGTAACCAGAGGTGGAACGTTCTTGAAATGGCCATGATGGGCGACTGAACAAAGATATAATTTCGAGTTCATTTTTGCATCACGCCCATAACGCACATGCTAAAATTATGAAATATTTCGATGCGGCCGTGAAAAAACGAGGTGACGCGTGATAAACGTTTCGGATGCAGTGGCGAAAGCCGCACCGTCGCACGGCCGTCACAGAGCACGGCCATCTGCTCGCACTTCTCTAACGCCACGTCCCTCCCCAGCTGCGCGCTGGCAGACTGCGGCGCCACCTTCACCACCAAGCAGTGTCTGCAGTTCCACTACCGGCGCCAGCACCAGCTGACCGGCTCGGCCATGCCTCCCATCCGCCGCGCCGTGCCCTTCACTCTGACGGCCTACTCCGGCTCCCTGTCGGAGGAGCCGGCGGCGACGGCGGCGGCGGCGGCGCGGCGGCGGCTAACGCGCTCCGACGCCATCTGGGAGCCGGCGGGAGCCGAGCGGCCCGAGCGGCCCGAGCGGCTCCGCTTCCCCGGCTTCTCGGTGTCACGCGACCTGCCCGACCAGAGCAACGGGCCGCGCCTGCTGCGGGACGCCTCGCGCACCGAGCTGGACAGCATCGAACCCAGCGTTGGCCTCATCCTGGACATGAGCTACCGGCACCGGGCGGAGCAGACGTGAGCTACTGACGCCGGGTGGAGCAGACGTGAGCTACCGGCACCGGGCGGAGTAGACGTGAGCTACCGGCACCGGGTAGAGCAGACGTGAGCCACCGGTACCGGGCGGAGCAGACGTGAGCTACTGACGCCAGGTGGAGCAGATGTGGGCTACCGGTACCGGGCGGAGCAGACGTGAGCTACTGACGCCGGGTGGAGCAGATGTGTGCTACAGGTACTGGGTGGAGCAGACGTGAGCTACCGACAACGGGCGGAGCAGACGTGGGCTGCAGGTACCAGGTGGAGCAGACGTGAGCTACCGACAACGGGCGGAGTAGACGTGAGCTGCAGGTACTGGGTGGAGCAGACGTGAGCTACCGACGCCGGGTGGAGCAGACGTGAGCTACAGGTACCGGGTGGAGCAGACATGAGCTACTGGCACCGGGCGGAGGAGACGTGAGCTACCGACGCCGGGTGGAGCAGACGTGAGCTACCGACACCGGGTGGATCAGACGTGAGCTACAGGTACCTGTTGAAGCAGACGTGAGCTACCAACGCCGGGTGGAGCAGATGTGAGCTACCGACGCCAGGTGGAGCAGACGTGAGCTACCGGCGCCGGGCGGAACGGACGTGAGCTACCGGCACCGGGCGGAGCAGACGTGAACTACCGACAACGGGTGGAGCAGACGTGAACTAGCAATACCGTGCGTAATATACATGAGCTACCGACACCGCGCGAAGAAGCGGGCGTCAGGGATCGTACTGAAGATAAGCTACCGACCCTGAAACGGAGAAAAAGGGCGGACGAATGCAATGAACTCTATTAGGAACGAAATATCGTATCGGATAAACCCTTCCTTCTTACCGCAAGGTAGAGAGATCAGTATCCCTATCCGTCTGTTTTAAGCCCTGGTGCAAATTGATAAGGAGTACTTTAGTGTGCGTTCCCACCATTTGTGGTTGTGATGGCTGGCCGTCGATGTGTTAATGTTTGTCCACGCACCTGTGAAGATCTATAGCCGAGTAAGGACCACAATCATTCAGCATGGAAGCTCCTTTCCCTGGTCGTGTGTATTGGACCTGTTACAATTATCGGATCGCAAACCCATAATATAATGAAGCAAAACATAACGCCATCGTGCGCCTTTCGAGCGGCCCACAGACCAAGCTCAACATCACCTGGTCGGAAACTATCACACACAGTGACTCTGGCGTCGAAACCGATGCCAACACACCGCGGTATTACCCTCCCTGCATATCCTCTACATCCGCCTGTGGAAGCCGGGTCTTCAACGTGCGAGGTCAACGGTAACTGATAACTGTTTGATCACATAAAGGTACAGTTCGGTCAAGTTCCGGCCTCCATGTGCCGCAAAGTTATTTGAGAGGTCATGACGCAATTTTTTATCGTTCTATGTGGGACGACTAACCTTTGCACCAGGAGCAGATTTGTCCTATCTCATCAGCAAGCCGTTCATGCGATAAGAAAATCCGATGGGACGGGAGCCAATCAAGCCCTGTATGAAAACAACAGGGCTTTGTAACACCAAATCATTTGGGCCAGTCGAGTTCCGGGTAACGCAGAAGCAAAATCTTCGTATTTTGGCTGCCTTGCTGTCGTGCAGGCCTTCGCTTACAACTTTTATTTTCCAGTTTTTTTATATTTTTGCTGTAATCAAGCGCCCTCCATTATAACCAAGTTTAGACCTCGGACTACACAATAGGATCGGCTACAATAGGGAGGTGCACAACGTTTTTGTACTGTCTACGTACTCACGCGAGGCTGTCATATAATAAACTATCAACAAATTTGTGCGTTTATCTGTCTGTCTGTTTGTCTATTTGTCATCTCGTATTTGCTGAGTCTTGTGCAGGTTAAACAGAGGGTAGTAACAGCCTGAAATTTTCGCAGCACGCACAATGAGAAGTGCATATGCGTGCTGCGACCCGGTACGGGGATCGAAGAGCGCCTTGCGCTGGTAGGAAAGTTCGTTTGAAAGCCCATAAGGTTACCAGTGACTGTACGTGTGGGGATACAGGTTGAGCGATGCTCAAGCAGTCTAAAAAATATTCACTCCGTTGCGTTAGCGACGGCGAATCTTGGGATTTCTAGGTGTACGAGGATGCCGATTTTATCAGAAATACAGCAGTGAACATTTAGCAAACTGCGATTTGCATGCCAGACTTCAACTGTGCGGTATAGAGGCGTCGCAGCACTGATAAGGTATTCAGAAATACAACGTCGGAGGCAGAGACAACATGACTGGCTCGAAATTCCGTGCTGCAAAGAAGCCGCGGTGATAACCAAGCGGCAACTGGGCGCAAGCCGTCAACTTAACACGGGCCCATTTGCACGCCGTATCATAAATGGTTAGGGTCGTTCCGTTAACTATACATTCCAGAGTTATCAGTCCGTACTGCACGGCTGTGAGAGCGCTCCCAAGATGTCTTGTGGCCATCCAGGACGCGCCCTCAGAAAGTGGTGAGTTGACGTGTTTGTTTTTGTCGCGGCGGGCTCGGAAGTGGAGCCAGTCCCATGGACAGCTCGAGACAGGCGTCAATCACTGTGCACAGAGACAGAGGTGTACAGGGGGGGGGGGGGGGGAGCACATAGAGGCCCTGGAGGCACGTGTCCACCTTCACCAAATTTGTGGCATGTATCACGATGTAGAATAATGTGTACGTACCTATCATAACATGTGTATGACTGAATATGTGCTTGAGGAAATGCTGACGTTTAAAGATCCGGCGGACACGTAAAAATAAGATCAAGAGCCACCGATGTCACTTTACGATGAGCTGAGAATGGTGCATGTCCGCGGCGCGCTGAGCTCGGTTTTCAGTGAACGTTTTTGGGTTGTGCTCCTCTCGTCTTTGCTGGAAACGTGCAGCAGTAAGCCGCACATTTAAAGTCACTGCAAAAATCAGGATAGCTTGATTGCGATGGCTTTGTAGCCGATGCGTAGGCGCACAAATAAGCTTAACGGTAATTGTATAGCTGCATGTGCAAAAGCAAATGTGCGTTTCAATTCACTTAAATAGTTTTAAAAGCTGAATATATGTTTCCCAAAGAAGCGTTTTGTTAATAGAAGCCTTTTGGTAGCAATACATCATGACTAAGATAGCCTGGTAAAGGCTGTCCAGCTGTCATAAATGGGCATACGCCGACGTTCTGGAGTGTGGACTGCCGCGCGCAATTATCGCGTACCATCTTTTCACGTGCCCTCCAGTCGTTTTTTCACGTGTCCTCGTTGTTCTCGGGCATTGCGTCGCGGCGTTCGAGCGTTGTCTGATGTCACGAAGTGCCGTTAAAATAACCCGGCGAACGATAGCAAGTTTTTGTGTTTTTAGCACATAAGCGCCACACATGCCATCAGATGAAGGGAAAGCTTTAATGAGCGCGTTTTGCGACAATCTTGCAACATTTCGAATTCCCTACGTTAACAGGCCTACGTTCTCGTTCAGGATGCACACATACGCACGAGGAGGGACGCCACCCTACGGTGCGAGGGGTTGTCAGCGCTGACGCACATCAGTGTGACAGTCCAGCCTCATCACGCCCCCAAACATGACAGCTGCGCTCTGGACTCTTGACCGTGCCCAACCCAAACTGCAGCCCATCACACCTTCTCCTGCCGTGGCACTCGCTGCCGGCGGCCGCTGCCAGTCTGGCCATTGGGTGGGCGCACGCCCTAGGGACACCTGTCGCGCCTCTTGGCCTGTCGCAGGTAGACGGTTCGCCCCGACAGGGGCTGCGCGGGTCGGTAGTTGTTGACCAGGGGCGACCCGTCGCATCGCTTCAGGCTGCGGAACGCTGCCAGCTGTGGACACGGACACAGCTTAGAGGTCGAGCTCCAGGCGCGCCGGACGACTTCCGTGTCACTCGGAAGGGCGACGGATGATGTACGCGCGGTGCGGAGGATCGTTTCGGAGCGAGTGGTGGATGGAGGCTAGTTTGGATAAGCGATGTGTGGGTCCACGTAACATGGGGGCATTAACGTGCTGCAATGTGCTCGCCTTGTCATAAACCTTGAGCACAAGCCCTGACAGTACTGTGTAATCAAAATTTGGTCGATAAGAACACAAGCTGAGGGTATTAGGCAATGTAGAGTTCATTATGTTGCATACTTGTTAGCTACGTTACAGTTATTTCCGGCGTCAGCCACTTCTCATTGCTTAGGAATTCAGCGAATCTTTCGAGGTAGAATGTCCCAAATAGGAGTGATGCCACATGATAATGATAACCGGCATCTGTTGTTGTTGACTGCGGCCGTGGGGTTTAGTCTTTGTAATCTTTACAAGCCAAGCCCACTCCGATCTTGATATCGTGGCGCTTACCTCAATCCCCGATCCGTTCCCCCAGAGTAGACACGGTCCCCTCTCACCTGATCACAGCCCATTCTGTACCCTCCCTCCAGAACAATCCGACCAAAACCCATCCGATCAGGGTACACCCAATCCCACGGCTCTCCTGTTAGGATATATACGTTTCGAGGTCATTACTCTTCCATCACAAGAAACTTGATTTGTGCATCCCTCCCGTCCGAGCACTCCCGACCGGCAACCCTCCTGTACAAACACACCCGATTCGCTCCCGCATCGCTCCAGCCCGAGCACATCCGAGCCCGCATCCCTGGCGTTGCACCGCACGGCCGGGCTCCCCACAGCCGGCATCCCTGGCGTCGCGCGCTGCGACCAGGCTCCCACATCAGCATCCCTGACATCGCTCCCCGCGGCTGGGCTCCCCACATCCGCCCGTATCCCTGGCGTCGCGCCCTGCAACCAGGCTCCCACATCAGCCCATATCCCTGGCCTCGCACCCTGTGAGCAGGCTCCCCACATCAGCCCTCATCCCTGGCGTCGCCCCCCGCGGCCAGGCTCCCACATCAGCATCCCTGACATCGCCCCCCGCGGCTGGGCTCCCCACATCAGCCCACCTCGCCATCGGTGACCTGCACGGTGTCCATGAACACCAGCCAGGTGACGGCCTGCGAGCACGGCGGCGCCGCCAGCGACCCGTGGTACCGGTAGAACCGACGCACGCTGTCCGGCATCAGCTCCCGCAGGCTGGGAGCTGAGCTGAGCGTGGCGCTGGTCTCGGCCGCCGAGATGTTGGCCAGTGCCGGCAGCAGCGGGGTCAGCACCGGCTCCGTCTCAGGGTCGTGGACCTGAGACACGCCCGTGGTCACGGCGTCGGTGCAACATTGGGGGGGGGGGGGCGAGATTGGCGTGACCTGAGGATGTCTCAGCAGCGGGGTCAGCACCGGCTCCGTCTCAGGGTCGTGGACCTGAGACACGCCCGTGGTCACGGCGTCGGTGCAACATTGGGGGGGGGGGGCGAGATTGGCACGACCTGAGGATGTCTCAGCAGCGGGTTCAGTGCCGACTCCATCTCAGGGTCGTGGACCTGAGACACGCCCGTGGCCGCGGCGTCGGTGCAACATTGGAGGAGGGAGAGGGGGGCAAGAATGGCATGACTTGAGGATGTCTCAGCAGCGGGCTCAGCGCCGACTCAGCCTCAGAGTCATGGACCTCAGACACGTCCGGGGTCACGGCGTCGGTGCAACATTGGGGGGGGGGGGGCAAGATTGGCATGACCTGAGGATGTCTCAGCAGCGGGCTCAGCACCGCCTCCACCCCAGAGTCGTGGACCTGAGACACGGCCGGGGTGACGGCGTCGGTGTAACATTGGGGGGGGGGGGGGGCAAGATTGGCATGACCTGAGGATGTCTCAGCAGCGGGCTCAGCACCGGCTCCATCCCACAGTCGTGGACCTGAGGCACGCCCGTGGTCACGGTGTCGGTGCAACATTGTGGGGAGGCAAGATTGGGATGACCTGAGAATGTCTCAGCAGCGAGGTCAGCACCGGCTCCATCTCAGGGTCGTGGACCTGAGACACGCCCGGGGCTACGGCGTCGGTGTAACATTGGGGTGGGGGGGGGCAAGATTGGCATGACCTGAGGATGTCTCAGCAGCGGGCTCAGCACCGCCTCCACCCCAGAGTCGTGGACCTGAGACACGTCCGGGGTCACGGCGTCGGTGTAACATTGGGGGGGGGGGGGGGCAAGATTGGCATGACCTGAGGATGTCTCAGCAGCGGGCTCAGCACCGCCTCCACCCCAGAGTCGTGGACCTGAGACACGTCCG